AAGTTCTTGGATCAAACATCAAGCTGGAGGCTTTTCCCAACTTTTGCAGCTGCAGGGGCTGAAGAGCTCAAGGTTGGCAGGCAGTGTACTGGCTGTTGACTTCAATGAATGATGAATCCAAGAGCTCCAGGTCGAATGGTGGATTATTTGCTTATGGACAGTTGTAGGCAGCACAACAGAATCCTGATCCACAGAAGAATGTCTCTTTTCCCAGGATGTCCATAAATATACTGGAAGCAGACCACACCCCTAGGGAAACTCCCTTTCAATGGATAAGCTGTTCAAAACATATCCATCTACTCCCATCATGGGAATAACCATATCACAACTGCTTAAACGACACAGAATTGTGGTCCAGCCAAGTTGACACTCAGCTCCAACTATCACAACCCCTTAACTTTTAATTTGTTTTTATCTTTGTGTCTAAGGTGGGTCTCTTGTAGGCAGCATATCAATGGATTTTCTTTTCTTATCCAGTCTGTCACTCTTTTTTTCTTAACTGGTGCATTTACTCCATTCACATTGAGTGTAATTAATGATAAGTGTGAATTTATTGTGTTTTTGTCATGTTATTGGAGTTTCCTTGGTCCATATAATTTTCTGTGCTGAGTTAATTTTGTTGTCAAGTGTTTCCTCTCTTTTCTTCTTTATTGTTGGTTTTGTGCTTAATAAACCCGTATGTTTTTCTTCTTTCTGGGTTTGCCTAGGAGGGTTGTTAATTTTGAAGTGAATTCTGGAAAATTCTGTTCTATGAGGATATTGTCCTGTTTTTCTCTCCATTTGGAAGTTTTGTACCTAGAGCTTTTATTCCCTCTATATGCTTTGTTGCTGGTGTTGTATGCAGATTGACTCCATTGTTTTTTTTGTGTGTGTATGATGTTTTATGGGCTTATTTTGAGCATCTATTTCTGATTTGATTTTAGTGTTGATGTCACCTGCCCTGATTTTGTTGTTCTCTGTTGTGGGTTCTCTATTGGAAGAACTTCTTTAAGCATTTCTTGTAGGGTTG